AAATACTTTGCTCCATATCTACCATCTTCCTGAATTCCATATAACTGCAGCCACATTATTTGACAAACAAAATTAAAGGGTATACACTAGCTTGGGTAACAGTGAAAATTAACTTGTGTCTTAGACTCCTCTAGCATTTACCTCTAAATCAGAAACAGTGTTTTTCTCTACAGTTCCCTTGAACACTATGATGAAGACTTTCAGGGTCTTCTGTACATAAGTGTACATACTATGTAGGGACACCATATGCCAGAAGTATCAAAGCTTAGCTTTGAAGAGGTGGATTTACCTCCATTGCACACCTTGGTGGACACGCTTAAGAATCAGTATAATCACCTTAGCTCAGGTATCTCAACACAGTACTACACTGTGCAGCACAGACAAGTTAACATTTCTGCCTCCGATCTTTCCCCAGAAAGCATTTTTAGTATCTTACAAGTTTAAAAATGCAATGGAGGTGCTTCATAAGTATTTGAAAGTAAGTATGAAAAAGCAAAGAAATACAAGACAACTTTGAACGCAGTACTAGTAAATAACTCTTCACCCAGCACCAAGGCAGCTTACTTTCACAGTTGGTAGCATAATACAGCAAGTGTTACAGCAAGAACTATACAGTCAACATTAATTTCATTTGTTAGTGAACAAAAAGGTGTCTACTGAGTACACTAAAAATCATCACTGGTAAGCTAAAAAGAAAGCTTTTCCAAACTTTTCTAAAAATTAAGTGTTGTTATGAATAAAGTATGAAGTGTTAAATAATTTTAATCTATTTTTCATTTATTGAATTTGTTTTTCCTGATTGAGTCATAATCATAATCTACAATATAGCAGGCTCTATTTGAGTTCATTACACAAGTGATATCAAATAGAAACAAAGGGTCATCACCTCCAGGAAACGCTGAGGATCACACTCATGGACAAGATTTTCACAATCCTTCAAAAAATTCTCAATGGTCTTCTTGTGAGTTTCTTTCATTTTCTTCCAAATCTGAAATTCTTTCTCTTTTTTACCTCTTTGATTTTCAACATCCTCTAGTAATTGCTGTTTTTTCATTTCTAGAGTTTTGAAAATTTCTCCAAATTTCAGCTCAATTATCTCCACATCGTTTTTCAGCATCATCTGGAAGCGCAAGAACATAGGAACAGATGCAAACGCAGTAGCAGCATCAATATAATTGACTTCTTTAAGTAAACTCAGATCTATGCCACAAGGACCTGACGCTCCATGTTGTGATTAAGCTATCATGAGAAGAGAAACAAAGACACACACACATATAATATGCAGCATTTGTAACTCACATCCGTATCATTCGGTCGTTTCGAGATCTCATTCATCAGCTTCTCATTTATTATTCTCATTTGTTTCAGAGTGCTGAAGAAGGTTAACTGCAAGACAGTTGAAACACTTTATTACAATTTTATCCATTCCATAAATACATTTCGGTCTTTTTCTAGAATCAGATCATGAAAAACATAGAGCTAATGGAGAGGACCCAGCGGAGGCCCACGAAGATGCTTAGGGGTCTGGATCACGTCTCTTACGAGGCCAGACTGCATGAGCTGGGCCTGTTTAGTTTGGAGAAGACAAGAATGAGAGGGAACCTTATTAATGCATATAAACATCTCAAACCCAGGTGCCAAGAGGATAGTGCCAGACTCCTTTCACTGGTGGCCAGTGACAGAACAAGGATCAACGGCCATAAATTAGAATATGAGAAGTTCCACCCAAATGTGAGGAAGAACTTCTTTACACTGAGGGTGGTAGAGTACTGGAACAGGCTGCCCAGGGAGGTTATGAAGTCTCCACTCTCTGCAGACATTCAAACCCCACCTAGATGTGTTCATTGTGTCACCTGCTCTAGGTGACCCTGCCTTGGCAGGGGGGTTGGGCCCTTTCCAACCCCAACTATTCTGATATTTTGTACAACATATTAAACAAAGATTGCAATTCAAAACATCACTTAAAACATTTAATGTTTTCCTGGATCAGTACACAAAGTTTCTTTTGCTCTTTCTCAAAATAATGTTCTTAGGCTTACCTACAATGTGTACTGTTGGAAGGGCTGCTTTATTTAAAACAACCTTTTTTTAACCTCTTCCTTCACACACATCTATCACAATGTAAGTTTTAGTGCTGTTATTCCAGTTTGACAACAAACTGAGTGGTAGTAACTTTTTATGCCTCACATCAATAAAATAGAAAGCTATTCACAACCAAGATACCTGGTTTTAAACTAATATTATCACTGATTTTTTGCTACAGTATCACTAAGTTTTATGTAGAATGTCTAGTGCAAAGGCTGTTTTCCCCTGGTTTCCTGAGTGACATGCAGTTGGTAACGGGAAAGGCAGGAGGAAAATCAGTGTAAAAGCAACTTCTGTCTTAAAGAATAGTCAGTGCTGTACTAGTACTTTCCACCACTGCCCTGCAGTTGTTTCAATTACTCTACAGCAGAACTGCTGTATGACATGCCAACCTGCACCCAATTTGCACAGGGCATGAAGAGCTCATCCTACCCTAATATTCTAGCAAAAATCATAACTACTACAACCAAGCATTAGGCCAGGCAGTTGCTTTCTTCATGCAAAGTGGAACACATTTTGGTTTTACGTTTATCTATTACTCACCCAAACTATCTATTCCTAAATATGTAATTATCTATGACCCAAATTACTATGGCAGCTCAGAGAACCTATAAACAAAACATCTGTGGGTGGATTTTGGTGGTGTTAGTAAGACTGGCATCTTCCTGAACTTGGAAAAACTGGATCCAGACATGCAACAAACTTGTAGTATCAGTGTTCTGTCAGGAAAGACCACAACTCTCTATATGAATGAGACACAAACACTACAAACTAAAGCAACGACAAAAAAACCCAATCTACCCCAGAATAAACAAGCAAAAACCCCCAACTCTCCAAGTGTTTTGGTAAACTGGGTTCAGATCTGTTCATACTGTAATGCTGCCTGGTCCCCTGTGCGTGGTGGATGCAGCATGACGGCAGCAGGGGAAGGCAGGCACAACCCGGCAGTCCACGAAAAACTCCTGACTAGCTCAAAGCAGCACAATCCCCGTACCTCTCTCCTGACCAACGCACTGCAGTGTTCCTTGCGTTTCTGACTTAAAAGCAACCTGTGCCCGGTGGGATCCCCAGCGGACAGCCCAACCTCCCAGCCGGGCCCCTGGCGCGGAGTGGACGCCCCGCGCTTACTTTTTCTTCCTGGTACACCGTGTCTATGAGGTTGACGGAGTGGAAGATGCCCTGGTGCTCCTCGGAGACGCACTGCCCGCACCCCGCCTGCCGGCACATGCGGCAGTAGAGCTGCACCGGCCGGCTCGGGTGTTTGTGGCAGCTTCCCCGAGCGCCAGCGGCGACAGCAAGTCTGACCCCGGCCTCGAGCCCAGCGCCGCCTCCCCGGCCTTGGCGGCGCCCGCCGCGCCGGACCGGTAGAGCTTGACCACCTCGGCCAGGGTGGTGTTGACGGGCAGGGCGGCGACGCCGCCGCGGGGCAGCAGGCACAGCTTCCTGCACAGCGGGCACGGCACCCGAGCGCAGGGCGGGCCCGGCCCCAGCGCCCCCCGGCCCGGGCGGGCCTGCTCCGGGCCCCGCTGCAGCTGCCGCAGGCGGGCGGCCTCGGCCGAGGCCAGGCACTCGAGCACGCAGCCCCGGCAGAAGTTGTGCGAGCACAGCGGCAGCGTCACCGGCTCCTCCAGCAGCGACAGGCACACGGCGCACGTCAGGCTCGCCTCCATCGGCGGCGGCGAGGAGCCGCGCGGCCGCCGCTCCTGCTGCTGCCCTGGGCCTGACTCGTCCCGCTTCCCCGCCGCTTCCAGCTCGCCGGCACCGAGGGGCCGCGGCTTCGACCGCAACCGCGGCCGAGCTGCCGGGAAGCCCCAAGCAGGGCGCTTCCAGCGCCGCTTCCAGCCGGCAACTCCCCGAGGAGCGACACCCGCCCACAGGGGGCGGGGCGAGGAGAGGAGCGTTGGCGATAGGTGGGGGCCCGAGATTGACGTCGCGGCTGCCCAATAAAAGAAAGAAAACGACCAGGGGGGTGGGGCGGAGGGTTGTGGGGTCCGCCCCGTGCCTGGCGCGCGCGCGGGCGGTTGCGTTGCGGGGCGCGCGCAGGGTCCTAGCGCCGCCGCCGCCATCTTATGAGGGGCTGAGGGCGCAGCTCCCGCCCTGCGGGCCGGCCGGGGCGCTCGGGAGCCCGCGGAGCTCGGGAGCTCCGGGAGCCCGGAGAGCCCGGGGCGCTGGACGTCCAGGGAAGTGTTCCCGTTCCCGTCTGCGGGCGTGCGGGGGTAAAGCGAAGTGACTCCACAGCGCCGACGTGCGGCTGTAGCGAGCTGCCTCTAGCTACATCTGCAAAATCAGAATTCTGTTTAGGGTTGTGTTGGTGCTGAGAAGTTGGGACGGTTTTTCCCTCCCCTTAGTTTCTTTTTCCTCCCAAAGCCGTTCTTCCGGACGTTCAGGCTTAACAACTATACTATCCGCCCGAAATGTTTTGAAGTAAGTTAAACTCAAGAGGGACTCGAATGAAGTTTTATTACAAATCAGTGGAGTTGTAACGATGAAGTCGGTATTTTCAAAGAAGCCAGGTAACGCTGTAAATAGTGTTAATTCCCCCGGCTGAGGGAAGGGATAAGAGCAAGGGGCACCAAAACGAAGCCAGGTGTTTGTAGGTTTCTGTAGCAGTGCTTTATTCAGTCTCACTGAGCTGCACCTGCGGAAGGTGCTGGTGTAAAAACACCCAGAACAGCTCTGCCCGGTCGGACACTTTGTGGCTGCGGGCGAGAAACCAAGGGCACGTATTTCAGTGAATGTTACCGCACTGTTCCTCACTTCTGTGTCCGTCAGGATGCTGACAGCAGGTACGTGCACACGGGCTGGGAAGTCGCATGGATAGGCTGCTCCTCCATAGACTCGTGGTGTTTAAAAGCAGCGCCACGTTTTGCTGTGGAACGGGGACTCGAAGCTGAGCTCTGCCGTCTTTCTTCCTTGCAATGTGAGTTGCTGTCACCAGGCGTTGTCAGCCTGTATTTGCAGGTATTCCAGGGAGCGCCGTATCCTTCAGCCTCATTTGGAGATGCAGTGCTATCCACCAGTAGTCAGCTCCTGCATTAAACCACCCAGGGCATCCTGGATTTACCTTCATGCTCTGAAGGTCAATATTCAATTAATGATTAAAATGAAATAAGCACAGATGGAATTCAGAGTTTAATTCTCTGGAACTTATCCGCTCAAAGCTAATTCATCTTCCAGGGTGCACTGGAATCAGTGGCACTGAATCAGGAATGGTTTGGGTACTTTATTCTAATTTTTTCTTTTGTTTCAAAAAGAATAGGGGAAATGCCGTTAAGTATGTGGGCTAAATGAAAGAGAATACAAAAGCATTCTGGTGATTGACTGATAAAGGATGGGGCAGATGCTTAATTTGATAGTAACTAAAACAATTATGTTCAAGACCATAAAATATGAGGTATAAGAAGTAGGAAAGAGAAGAAGAAATTTACATACAGGAAGAAATCCTGCTGATAAAAGTAAAGACAACAAAATATTTTTTTCTTACTTCAGTGTGGGAAGTGAGTAGGTTCTTCCAGAGCCTGTTAACAAATGTTTGGAGTGTTGTGACATGAAATAATAAACTTGTGCTTACATGGAGTAATTTTACCACTTGCTTCATTAATTTACATTAATCATAAAAGCAGAAATACTATTTAGAACTAGGAATAAAACCAGGTTCCTGCCACCATCTTTTTCTTGCCTCAAGAAAGATTTAATATTAGAAGATGTACAGTACTGATCTTTGCTGTTATGTAAGGTAGGGATCTCTTACAGTTACTGCATTGTGTATAGCTTCAATTTCTATTTAAAATAGATTTGCAGTTTTCAAAGGTCATCTTCTTACTTAATAATCTTCTGCATCACCAGCACAGATGGCAAGTAAAGCACTCTCATAATGCCCTGATGCAAAATGCTGCAAGGAAAAAAAAAAAATCAATATTTCAGTGACCATACATTTTCTGAATTTTTCTTCTCTTGGTGTGTGACAAGGACTAGGCTGCTATAAGGCTTTACAAGATATTACACTGTTTTCGTAAGGATTACAGGCTGAGATTATTTTTAATTTCACATACCTTGGCCTTTGGTTGCTCAGGCACCTTTAAACAATCCTAGATCAAATCGGTTTATTACTTCTCAAATTCAATACAAAAAAATCATGAACAGTTTCTTAAAGTTGCTGTGCATCTTGCAGTTGGATTATAGCGATATAAAAAAAGTAAAGTGTCTTAGCAAGAGTATTTTTTTTGGTACAATTAAACAGTCTCGAAGTTTTGTTTTAAGATACAGAGCAAAAGTACAAGACAAATAGTTTTTGTGAAAGTCCTATCTAAGCATAAGGATAAAACAAGATATTTATTTCAGTTTTGCACAAAAATGGTATAAACCTAACCTTGCATAACACAGCATGAAGTAAGATGTTATCAATTAGTGTAGAAAGCATTCATGCAAACTACTCCTCAGCAGACACTGTCCTGCCCTGTTCATATACTCCTCTTGCATTGGGGAGGGACAAAATCACTGAGAGGGAGTGAGTTGAGAATTCACTGCTTTTGGAGTTTGAATTCAAACCAAGGCACTGAAAATTCCCTGTTGTTTTTATACATTGCTTTTTGTTTGGTTTTGTGGTTTGTTTGTTTGTTTTTTTTTAATAAGCCAAGTGCTTAAATGGAGATTAATCCTCTATATTTTTCTGGTAGGGCTTTGCACAGTCTGTGTGATGCTAATGCTGAATATATGCAAAAGTTTGCAGAAACTTACTTTAATGTCATGGAAGAGTGATTTCCCATATCTTTCTTTGTATCGCTGCCGAATATTTATCAAGTCAATCTCACTCCTGGCGATGAGAATCCTAATAACTGTTTTGTTGTGAAACCCAAAGTCCTAAAATGAAAAGAGAAGAGGAAACTTGGCAGTTGGACAATATGTATTTGCCTATCTGTATATGCTCATATTAATGTTTAATAGATAAAGATAAGATATATCCATATAATGTATGTAGGTATAAAGGGTATATAAGATATACCCATAAAGGTATCTTAGACTTTAAGGAGTCTAAGCATTCAAGGGTTTTATCCTATAGAGTTTTCGTGTGCTCAAGTGATAGAATTTATGTTACTGAATAAGAAGGAGTCCCCACATGCCAGTGTTTTATCCATGCGTCAAAACTTTTAACAAGGAAAATCTGATCATCTTTTGTCAGTAGTCTCAGGAATTCAGTTTGTGTGTAGCAGTTTTGACTGTCATTGTGGAGTCCATTCAAATTATACTGAAGCCAGTAATGTATTTCACAAGAACTGCTGCCACATGTGAATTCAGTGAGACTTTTAACCATTGGTTTAGAATTTATATAATGTGTGCTTCAGACATGTTTGTTTTAAGTTTCTAAGTAAATTTTCATATTGTAATTGTGTGGAGAATGGGGACATCTAGTGGCAATAAAAGTAGTCAAAATAGGTTTAGGACTGGGACAACTGATGATCAGTTTAGATTCTTTAATGCTAAATTGTAGTTTTATCAACTAATCACTGATACTGTCATCTTGTTCTCCAAAAAACAAGTGTTAAAAAGCTGCATGTAGAAAATCTGATACATGTTTGATGACTACATTCAAATCTTTATTATAAACCATTAAACTGTTATGGACTATGATTTCAAGCATTTGAATCCTGAGTGGGTTTTATTATATTGTATTATAAATTGATGTATAAAAAGCTTTTGGCCTAATTTGGATATAGGTTGGTTGCAAAACTATTTTAATTTCTTGCTTTTTTTTTTCTTTTTGAATTTTCTGTGCTCTCTAAAACACTGAGAAAATATAGTAAAATATTAATTAAAATGTAGATATTTATTCTTAATAATTAAAAACTTCTTCCCTTATCACATACCTTGTCTGAATATAATATAGAAGAAAACTATCTGTGTGATATTTCTTAAAATTAAAAAGTAGGTTTTAACTTGAAAAGCAGTCTTGGTACAGAACTTTGAGAAATATCACTTTTCCTGATAGTTGATATTTCCTGGTAGTTTTGGCAAACCTTTTTTGTGTCATGTACTAGAATCCCCTTTTGACCACTCAGACAAAATATTGCTTCTTTCTTTCAGGCTCTGGGATTTTTCTTGGTTCTTTGCTGCCACACATGTTGATTTAGCTGAAACACTGGAGAGCAGTAATGGCAGCATCTGGCAGAGGATACTGGGGCATTTTTGGAGTGTTGGTCAAAAGTTTTGTTTGATGATTCTGGTTTGGAATTACTGTCTTTGCCATTCCAGCTCTAAGGTGATCCTTACTCATGGCTGACTCTTATGACAATCTTCTAAAGATTACACTTAAAGATTAGGCTTAAAAGATTATACTTTTGTTTTTATAAAACATAATGCATCATTATTTTCATTAATGAATGAAAAACAAAAGAAAATGTCTCCAGTGACATTCCTCTCTGATAGGAGGAATTCGTGTTTCTTTGCATTTACCCACATTTCTCCTTGGCACTCAGTTTAGTATATTAGCACTTACTCAACAAATAAAAGAACCTGCATGGAGCCCCACAATAAAATATGACCATTTGTCTTTATGTAACACTAATTTATTATTTAATTTTTACCAATACTTATTAAATCTCCAGAGACAAAATACTGTGTCATAGGAAAAGTGCACGTTGAGTTCTGCACAGCAGGGGGAGATACCGTCCAGAGAAAAGAAATGTTTTCAGTTAAAAAAAAAAATTGACAAAGTTACCAGACAGATATTGTTTTAAGGTATCTAAATATTTAATCTTTTACTGCTAAATGCTAACTGTAGCTTAGGCACTACTGCTTTGCAATTTATATAGGTATCAACAGTTTTAAAACATGCAAAGATTGAACAGATGGATTTGTAATTACTTGTTTAAGAATGATCAAACAAACAAACAAAAGGAATCTGCTTTTTATGATGTGAAGAATGACTACTTACATGAATTGCATTATAAAGCCTATAAGCAAAGTAGGAAGGCTTGTCACGAATGCAGAGAACTAGGAGAGAACAGTTGCAACAGGTAAACAGGAAATTATTATAAAATAATTGCTTTTGGCTTTGGGCTCCTTGAAATATAAAGCTGGCTGTTCATGACTCAGCTTAAAATTAAGCTACCAATATTCACTAACATAACTATATTTGGATGTTTGCTGTTGTATCAAAAAGATTATTAAATACCAGTGAATACACTCAAATGACTTCTTCGTTGAAGTTATTATTATCCTTATTCTACAAATGAAGAACAAAGGTATGTAAAGCTTGAGACTTGTTAACATACCACCAAAGTCCTGAAAACATTGCCAATTATTTAATATTCGTAAAATCAGTTTGAAATACAGTTATCATTGATTACACAAAACTTGTTACAAAATAACAAATACTAGCTCTGGTCAATCGGGTTCATGCTGCATGGATACATTTTTGGATTTACGAAGACATGGGAAAGTAGTTAAAATATTAATCTGTAATTATGTCTGAAAATTTAGTTGCACAATGTAGGAGATTAAAGTGAATAAAATATCAGAAAATAGTGTTCTTGATGCACAAGAGATAATATACTAGATATTTGCTAAGAGATCACTGCTAGTAAAAATAATATCTTTACGTTACCTATTGCAACCAGTAATTCTTGAAAGTATCCATCGTAACATTCATTAATGGCATCTACTATGTCTTGCCCAGAGATATTTTGGAACTCCTGGAAAACTTGGAGAGGAAAAAAAACCAACCTTGTTTTATTCTAGTTCATTAATAATGATCAATTTGCTTTTTTTTAGTTCGATACTTCCGCCTGGTACTATAACTATTGAGTTCATTTTTCTGCTTTATTATTCTCAGTGTTTCATTATGTTTATATTCCCCAGGTAAGGCAATCTAAATGAGTAGCCTGAAACCTGGCTTCTAGAAGATTCTCTGCCTGGGTTCTTCAGTCCACAGTATGAAATGAATGGATGCCACAGCCTCTGTTTCACTGGAAGCTTTAATAAATTCTCTATCTAGCAACATCTGTTTATGAAACGTAAGAATGTCAGGTCATTGAGGCAAGTTCCTTGCTCAGCTTGGCTAAAACTGACCAGAGATGCATGGGTTGTGACAAGAAGCCCTGGCTTGCATGACATGTGTAACATGTCAGTATCCAGCCATGGACACTCTCTGCATAATGTGGGTATCCAGACATAGAAATATACAGGGCACGCTTTCTCCTTTGGGGAAGGAGGAAAATTTTCAGCTCACTGTTTACTACAAAACTTGTGGAGGACTATAGTACAGGCAGAGCCCTCAAATCTCAGGAAGAGAGCAGAACAAAAGCAGGTGTGTTACGTTATTTTAATCCTATCAACACCAGCTGAATGAATTTGTTGATCCATGATAGCAGAGTGATTCTAAGCTACTGTTAGCAGTTGACATAAGAAATACAGCTGGCTGCACAGTGATAAACTTGTCACCAGACAGTTTTTCCACTGCAGAGCAAAAACTCAGACTTGTCAGCAAAGAGATACAATAGGTTTCTTTTCTACAGTGGAAGATCTGGATGAGCTCACATGAATTTCTTGCAATTTGCAATTATGTTTGATTTTCTATTTTGAATAAAAGCGGCCCTTGTGTTTCTGTGTGTATTTTTATTATGGGAGAGTGGATGTGCACATTGAAGTGCTCCCATCAAAAACTTCTTTGAAACTTCCAGGGAAAAGCTTTGACACAGCAATGTGTTTTCACATAAAAACATTTGTTGAAAATACTCCATCCGCCTCTCCTGAGGTGTTTCCCCTCATAAAAGTTACTTAGGAAAAATGAAGAAAATAGTTAAGAAAAATCACCTCCTGTTGTGTCATGTGTAAATTCTGTGCAGCCATGGCATTTGCCTTTTTTTGATCATGCATTCTTCCCTCTGTTATTAGGCATCCTGGTGCCTGTCTGTTCTGTCTACAGCTGTCAAGAGTCATCAGGCAAAGTTCAGTTTTGCATTACTTCCAAAATCCCATTAACAACAGTGGGAGTCTGGGCTCCAACAGTTCACGCTTAGGTTTCAGGCTAATACCCTGCTGCACACTGAGTGTCTTGGTATGCAAAGCATGGCTTTATTAGCAAGTCAGATTTTTCCTTTCCACTGTTTAAACAACTGAACTGCTGGATTACCCATCCACAACTGCTGGTGGCTTCTGTTGCAGAGAATCATTTGCAGCATGTTTTTGTGTTCGCCTGTTTTCTGCTGACATGCTTCCCATAGAATCTAGTATACCAGAAAAAGGAAAAAACATGGAAAATATTTTAAGTCAGTCCTAAATCACTTTTCAACATTTCTGTTTTTTTCTTTTTTTTAATGTTTGAGAAGTTCACATTTGAGCATATTTACCATTGCATCCTGAGCAGCTGTAGAAGGATCTGCATATCCTTCCATCCTTGTTCCCTGGGGAAAAAAAAACCCAAACATTTTCTTCAAAAGTTAAATCCTAAACCACTGTAGGACTATAAAGTTATCTCTGTATGAAGCTATCTTGCATTTCTTGAGATTACATATGTGGGCTTTTAGATTGGATAAGTATATTCCATGGCTGAATTTGAAAATGTAGAAAAAATCCTCAAGCTGGTATGTCTTCATTTTCTTTAATAAGAGGAACTCTGGAATGACAGTCTTGTGAGAGTGGAAAATGGGGGAAATGGATAAACCTGTCCCATTCTTAGTCCCATTTTAAATAAGCTTTTAACTGACCATCGCCATCCCACCACCATTTTCAGAAGTAGGGATATTATATTGCTTACTATAATATATAACTCTGAGGGGAAAACAAGGGTCACAATTTGCCATTCACTGATTACCAATATACACAATACCAGAAGAATCTTTTCTCAATTTTTTTCTCCCTGCACAAATCATAGGAGCAAGCTCATCAAATAATGGAAACTTTCCTTGCTCATAATCATTGTCTAAAATTAACCAAGACTAAGAAATTGTTTGACAACTTTTATACACAAAACACTGAAGAATACTTTAAATTCTTCCATACATTTAATAGCTTTTCAGTTACACAAATCAAGCTAAATTCTTTAGTAAACACACTATGAACTGAATTGTATAGCTGTTAGAAAAAGAGGAGAGCACACAGCTATTGGAATTGCTTTTTTAACCATAGCCATCTTGTAAGGATACAAATCAGCCTAGGTTGCAAAACCCTTAACAATCTCAAGCTCATGTAATCACTGCCTTAAAATGTGCTTGAAGCAATTTAGTTTAAAATTTACAGTATTTTACCTTATATGTGAAAGGGAGAATTAAAATTATGTGTTGGCTGTTAGCTTGTAGAATGACTGATTTGTAGCTCTTTCTCGTTAAAAATGTTACTTTATCTTTTAATTTAATGCTAAAAATTTCACACAGTGAAATTCTTAGCAATAAGATAAATTACTTGAAGTAAATTATGATGGAATGACTGCATAAAGTTGACAGACAAGTGAACAATAAAATAACTTAAATAATATTCTACATGAGTCAAATGCCCACTTTCCCCATTAACATTTATATAATTATGTTTTAAATTGTAGAAAATTATAATATTTTGTTCATATCAGACTAGAGTATTAGTCAGCCTGAATTTGTAATTCTGTTAATTTCTTTAAGAAGGACTATAAACTATAACTTCTAGTCTGCCTCAGGCTGAACTTGAAAATTGTAAATACGACACAATAGTAATTGAATAGTTCACTCTCCATACGTGGAGCACATTTACTTCCATCCGTAGTCAGATATGTGTGTCATCAGTCCCAAGATTTAATAGAAATTAAAGCAAAGGGCTTCTGAAAAAAACATTAAAGGATGCATGGGAATGTTGCTACAGAATAATGTTCTTTAAGTTGCATGGTAAAGGAACTAGAAAGGACATATTTTAATAAAATATCACTAAGTTTAAATATAAGATTATATCCAAACATGGCTGATTTGACTAACAATCTTCAAAAGTAGACAGCATAACTGGGTAAAGTTGAAGTTTCCTGCAGCTTTTTGGTATCTTGAGAAAAATAGCAGATCTTGTTAGCTAAGAAGTTGCTGATTTTAGATATCCTTATCAATGCCTGGGGTTTAAAAAAGTAAGGAGTAATAACGTATAATCTCAGATTATTTTAAGTTTGGTTTGTTTGATTGGTAAAATATGGTTTTAATAAAGATGAGAAGTGAGGTTGCTTAACCTCTAGCTTTTAATTTTTAAGCAAGGAAAAATTTTCATTATTAGAAAAAAATGAGAAAAAGTATTTCCTGTTTATAGCTTCTACTTCTGACACATCTGCTCTTTGTACCTCGGTGAAGCCTGCTATTTCGTATCTCAGTAGGAACTTTTCCCCCAGACATATATATATAAAAATACAGATATACCTTATGTATGCTGTTATTTCCTTGCGGTGCCTTTGTCATTATTTGTTACTCTGGTTTACAAAAGATTTTTAAGATAATGAGCAAAGTGACTACAAAGAGAATGGGAGCTTATGATCTGGCAAGGATGACCACTTTGTTGTATAAGACTACAAACTGGTAAAACTGCAAAAGTTGGTGTGTCATAGTGACACTTTGCCTCTGTGCAAACATGCTGTGATTTGGCATATGCAGAAGCACAAAAAAAATCATATTTAAAGCAGAGATCTCTTTAATACTTTATTTCTTAGTCAGATGTGGATATATCTCTGTTTTCACATGATGTTTCAACTGGATTATATATTCTGATAATGGAGAAAAGAGAGCTTTAAAAATGACAATCACATTTGTACTTGCAAGTAGACTCCTTTTGATATGAGACAGATGGAGCAGAGGATCAGCAGTTGAATAATCAGGGGACTTTATAAAATAACCTGTTAACCTTTGCCTCCATCTGATAGCCAGTCTGAGATTACTCTCTCCCTCATGTGATTTCCCCCCCTCTCTTTTTTGAAAGTGTAGCCCTGTTGAACTAGCTTTAACCACAGTCACCTTAAAATTCAAGACTTCTCAAATAGTATCAAAAGTCCTTATGAATTTTTTAGAAACGTAAATTTTACTACTTGGTTTACAGTACCTGAGCAAGGTTCATGAGCGTATCTCTGAAGTGCCCTGAAGTCTCAGAATCAATGTCTTGTTGAAGATCAGTATTATATTCTAGGTTAAACCAAAAACACATAATCTAAATCAAAAATGCACATGCTCTGCATAGTGCAAATGAAGATTATCAAACAAAGGATAAATAAATAGGATTCAAATACTTGTCCATTCTCTATGGTCTTTATTCCACTGTAACCCGGACAGGTTCTTCATGGACCTGGCACTTTGCCTGGCCCTGCTGGGAGCCCTCAGCCACTGTCCCCATCACCTGTCCACCCACCCAAGTTGCTTCAGCCTTTGGTATATAGTCAGGGGAGGAGATGGGGAAGGGAACCAGTCAGTATTGAGGAGTCATTTTAGTAGTTCTGTTCCTGCCTGTGTGCTGATACCTCCAGAGCACACATACTACAACTGCTACAGTGCACTTGTTAGAAAACATTACGCATTAGGTAGGCTTCTTTCATCTGGAAGATCTCCATGTTTGATCTTGAGGCTAATATGTCAATTAGGCATTTTTCTTCTGTGTCTACTCCCTGTGTGGAAAGAAGTAAATGCAAAAAGATGTTGTATAGTAGAAACCACAGCTTTTAGATGAAAGCAATGCTGTGCTTATCAGAAGTAACAAAAGAATAGCAGTCTCTGCTGGAGCAGTGCAGAGTGCATTTTAATAGTAAAACCCTGTATTTCAAACATATTTCTACTTAATCTGAATTTCAGCATGTACATTACCAAGTGAAGAATGAAGCAAGAGTAGTGTTGATGGAAACATAATGGGAATAATTTTAGAGCATTAGTAAGAACTTAGGATTTGCTGAAAGAAATCAGATGCAAAGATTGAGCATACATCCCCAGCAAGTGTTCAGGCAATCTGAAGTAGACATGAGCACAGCTATTATGTTTGGTTTTTGTCGTCTCCTTCTTTCCTTCTTTCTTTTTTTTTTTTTTTTTTTAAATTTATTTAGGAATAAAAATATTTTTAGAAAAAAATAAAGTTTGGCAATCTTGTCAATAATGTTAATAAAGGACATGATTCTGTTGTTACCAAATATATTTCACAATTCTTTTAATGCCAACCGTAATAAAAACATATCAGTAGCTCTAAAAAATGCATTTATTTGTCTGAAGAAGTGTTCATATTTTCTTTTTTTGAATTCTAATTTCTCAAAATTACCAAGATAGATCATCTTGCTCAAAGTCATATAACCTGTGTCTTCTTTGTGACAGTGGACAGTAGCAAATATTCATGAGAAGAAAAAAAAAAAAACCAGTGTTGAACTCCTATATACCTTCCTATCTTTCAGGAATGGACAATTCAGGAATTTCCTGAGAAGGATTATTATTTTCAATAGCCAACAGTGAACCTGTTTTCAAAGAGATTATTGAAGTCCTTTATGAACTGATTTGTGCTTTTGGCCTCCACAATGAATTTCACCTTTATTACATGATATGTGAAAATATATTTTTGTTTGGTTTGGAGCATCAGTTGTGTAAGGAGCAGAGTCTCAGACCCTAGGAAGAAAATGAAATATTTTCTTTAAAATGGGCAATCAGTTCAGTTTGAGTGGAGTGATCATTGCTTTGTCACAGGGTAATTTGTAAACGTTTATGCAAAGACATGTTCTGATAAAGAAGTATTGGTCTTTTCAGAGGTGGAGTCTTAGTGTATGACACTGGGTGTGCAAATAAATTTGATTTGTAACATACACAATGGCTTGCAGGAACTTACATTTCCCTGTATAAATATTTCTTAATTTCATGAGTTTACTATCGGTGTTAAATGGGTTATATTTGTTACGTTACAAGGATATTATTTCTGCCAGTTTTAGCATACCAATGAATATACTTCATATATCCCTGTATTTCTGATGACCTAGTATACTATGTGATAGTATACTACTCCAGTGCACTAACTTCCAGCAGTTTATCAACCAGTTAAATGTCAAAAAAATAATTTCACGTATGTTCAGTATTCTAATTAGTGACTGCAACTCTAAGCAATTCTGAATTTGACAACTACCTTTAAGGCATGCCAGAGCTCATGGGCATCATAGGAGGCAGGTGGATACATCAAGCCAACCATAACTTCTTTGAAGTGATGAGAGAGGTTCTCTTTTAGGTCTGTTATCAGATCCTTGAAAAGAAAAAGAAAATGCATAGACCAGGATAATTTCAGTAGTCTCACTTTATTAAGACAGAATAAAAAATTATTAGTGGTTTTCTCTGTAAATGAATAAAGATAGACTTTCAAAGATGAATTCTGGCTAAGATTAAGAAAAAAATGTTCTTTTTAAATAGTACCTGCTTGTTCTACTAGTATGGGTAAAATAAGAATAGATGCATAAGCCAGTAGACCACAATGGTTTGTTTGTTGGTTTCTGGTTCATCAGAATACAGAAGAAAATGCAGGGGTGTAAGTGCAACTACTACTTAAAGTTTTAGAAAACTGAATATCATGGCAGAGCCTCTGCAGCTTTCCTTGGCATATTCCCTGTGCAAATCTGTGGGAAGTAAGCACCTTTGGAAATTCAATCACATATAATCCAGATGATGTCTTGTGCTTTTTTCAGTGTAACTCACCATGTGAGTAATTTAAAAAATCATCTGTATTGCTCCTAGTACATGAAAATACCTGCTTTGGGTTGTTAGAAGGTTATGTGCTTTTAAATATTTTATAGTCAAACTAAATTCACTACTTTTGACAAATGCTGGATTAATAATAAGGAACCTCCCTCTTCCCCCTCATGTGTCTCAGTTCTTGCTTGCTAGGTAGCTGAATAATGGATCAGAGTTTCCTTCTCACTCTACCCATTAGCATCCTTCAAAACACTGCAAATGCCAAAAGCTTGTTAGCTTACTATTGGGGTTTCTGTTAAAGGATCCTTGCACAGTCTTTTTTTTTTTTTATATATTTTGTTGCAGCACTAGACAGCTGTCAGGTATGTTCTGATCTAAGTCTGAATTGAAATGGTTCCCATTATATAAAGGATTATGTTTTCAGAGCTGCATATTTTTCAGGCCTGTGCTTTGGTTTTGATACATTTCTGAATATAATTTAATTAATAGCTAGAGTGGCAATGAAGGAGGACAAATACACATTAAAAATTAAATTTATGCTGAAGAAACATACACGGTCTTCAGTGAATGCACATTAGGTGCATTTGTCAACCACTGAATCACACCTGGAGTAGAAATTAATTCATTAAGACATTTCACTTCTGACAACATGCCTGTGGGAAAATGGATTAATAATACAAATGGATGCTATTTAAAAATTACTCCCACAATCAGAACTAATGGAAGTGAAGTATTAAAAAATAAGAAAAGACAACTGTAAGTTGTCGTTATTTTAATTTCCTAATCATCTTTGCTGTACAAAATCCTTGAAGGCTAATCGTAAGAAGGAATCTTAAAGCTTCTCTGTATGTCTGAATCATGCAGCTGGTTCAGGTCTTTCTTTCCTCTTCTTATATTTCTCTCCTTCTGAGATGTTGTCTAATGAGTGGGCGTAGTGGCTACCATATTAAGCAGACTGAAGTGAAATTAAGAGGGAAGAGGATTGGACCAACAGTTTTACCCCAAATTGAACTGAGAAAGATAAAACTACTGTTGCCTCACTGCATGTCTTCTGTGCCCTGCAGTGTTTACCACTCATAAACTGGGACTGCCGAATGGCACATTTGCTCAAGGCAGTGTAACCATTAGGACAGATCACAGCCAGGGAGGTGCTATCACTGGTGTGCTAAATTATTGGCAGTTCAAGGTAAGACACAATGTGTCCTGTCCAGCACTTCCTGCCCAAGATGGCAAACTTTTGAGGTATCGGTCGAATGAACTGCATGGAGCACTAACCGCATAAGCCATCCCAGGATGTCTACTGTCCCAGGTGAGGCAATAAATATCAGCATTTCTATTTAATCTCTGAACTACATTACAGCTGCTTTGTACTTACCCCTGTTTCCACGTGGCAAAGGGTAGAACTGAATAGGGGCATTTCTGAAAACTGCCAAGATTATCTTGATGTATCTTGTGCTATACCCAGTGCTTAATAAATTAATTTAAATTAATATTGTGGGTGTATTGAAATATGTTCCATGAGTTCCAGAATCTTCTGTAGCCCATTGCTGGCATTTGAAAACAATTTCCTTGCCTTCCCCTTCTATCATTATTTGTAGATTTAGTGACTGAAATTCTTAAAAAGGAATTTTCTTTGGCTTTTTTGTTTTCTTCTAGATCTTTAGGTCACTGGCTTAACAGGACTTCATGTTGACTCAATATGGCTGACAGAGATAAGAATTTAAAGGTAGTGCATTTTCATAGGGATTTATTTATTTGTTTATATTTTTGGTTTTGATTTGAAAAGAAAAAACAACTAGATTCATTGGTGAGCAAGTCAGTAATTGTTCTCTATGAATATGAAATATGGTAAATCAGAACTCCATTCCTGAAGGACATTTGCCAATTCTTTATTGCAATATCATGCATTATCTCTAGGTCATCTTCATATACCAGAAGGCAGAAATTAAAGATAAAAGCATGATATGGAGTTTTAAATGTTTTCCTATGTTAAAATGATATGTCCAGTTGAAACACTCTAGAGAAAAGGTCTAAAGAAACCAGCCAGCTGCTATGGGTGAAGTAGAGAAGGAGCAATGTCCACTGGTTAAGGAGATAAATGAACATTTGGAAAGAATGGGCTTGGGTTCTTTACTGTCACAGGCATCTTTAGGGAGTTTGACATGCTTTAGTTTTCTACAAGTAAAATTAAAACTCTCTGAGGAATATTACATGGATAAACGCTGAACTTGTATGGTTTGCATGTGTAATGGTAATCTAATAAATACCTCATAGTAGAAAAACAGTTTTAATCGTTTAGGTACACTGATTTCAATCACTGTCACAGTCTTTGGAAGGTGGGTAGCTGTGATTCAATTATTGGTTTTTTATGGTCTATTTAAAACATACTCATCCATTCAAGGTTACATCTAAAAAATCTCAAATATTGTGCATTTGGTTTTTTCTAACAATCCAAATAAAGTCATTGATCTCCTAGAGATGAGTAACAACACAAAATCAACTCACTACGCTGATTAAACCCAGCTTTTTTCTCCCAGTTCTAGGAGAGGAAGTGGGTGTTTCAGCATATTAAGGGATCAATGGCTTTGAGGTATTTTGATACACAGTTGGCACAAAGGTTGTCTGTGGAAAACTTGTTGGCTACCTAAAAAAAAATACACTGTTCTACTGGTTAACAAACTGGTGGTGTAACAGTGCCACATCATATGGAGTTTTTGAATGAACCATTTCTAGTTAACTCCAGTTAAGGCTGATGGCTGTGTGGTAGCATCTGTGCAAGCTCATTGTTCTTATTCACGCTGATCGATTCAATGGCAAGCAGATACTGACCTTCAAGGAATTTTCCAGTGAGCTGTTAGCTTTACAGGCTTCAGGAAAAGAAGAAAACTGGATTTTGTTGTGTTTGCCTCGCTTCTCTTAGGGGAAGAACATGTCTAGTCAATTTAATCCAATAGTATCTATTTTCATACAGTACTTTTAATCAGTAGATTTCACATGAATTTTGCAAAAGGTGTTGCTATTTTTTTTTGCCCTTATATAGTGAGTGTAACTAAGGAAAATGCAGGCATTGCCACTTCCATGAAGTTATTTGGTTATCAATAGTAGATCTGAAAATAGTATGAGGATGTCTATCTCTATGTATGTTTAAGAATTCATATAACAAAAATTACATTTTTATATGCAGTAAAGATAGATAAAATACATTTGAAAAAGAGGCTAACTTTTTATGTCTTAAAATTTTTTAAACACCTTTCAAAGATTCATGAATTTAACATGAAGCAGCTGAGTACTGTGCTTAGTGTATGGATGGAATTACATGGAATGAGGCCTGAGAACGTCAGTGCTTGAGATGAGAACATTAATCAGTATGTGAATAAGATAAAAAAGCCTGTAACTGTTGGTATGGTGTTTTACTTTGGTTACAATACTATTTTATTATCATGTCTCTTTCTAACTTTGTGTGGCAGAGGTGCTTCTACTGCGCTGTAAATGTCAATCTGATACTACTTAGAGGTACCGGTAGTCAATGAGCAAAGCTGTGTGCCAACCTGTTGGTGCCTGCCAGCTGTCTGACAGGCTTTTGTTTCCAGTGACTGACCTGAGAGAAGAGCTGATCAACTGCACTGGAGGAAGGAGAGAAAGAAGTAAATGAAAGCACAAAGTGGCTGTGTCTTACCCTGCCATACATGTCCCTGTATGCCTCAGCAATCATAAGCCGCTGGGAGTTGCAACGCTGAGTTAGGATATCAATCAACACATCTTTTTCACAACCTGTAATGGAAACATGACACAGACTCTAAATTAACAATGTGTTGTTATTTACTTACGTTTGTAATTGTTCATGTTTTATTCTAGAAGATTATACTAATTTCTCAAAACAATAGGTCAACAGACTAATATCCCACTGGTATTTACCAGCGTTAGTTATATGTATGCTGCTTATGTATCTTGCGCTTGCTGGTGTAATACCATAAAAAGGTGAAGTAGTCCATTATTACCAGAATGATCATCACCTCTCTCAAGCTCAATGGATTTGAAAGCATCCATAAAACAGATAGAGGCTTTCATTTATTCAGAACTAGACACAATAGCAGGATTTGTGGCTAAGCCTTGGAAGTCATACTTGTATACCCTGTTGATATTGATTAAATAGTCATTTCAGGATTAAGGATCTCTTTTATGGGGGTGCAAAGTTGTGGTTAGACCTTTTGTTGAAAAAGTCAGCTATATTTTCAGAGGAACTGTATAAAATAAGTTATAAAGTTTTAAAAAAATTGTATTTTACCCCATTTCCAAAGACATTTTATTGAAGGCTTCTGTCATTGTTTACTTGATGGCTAGAGCATACTGCTAAACTTCTATAATGATTCAGTATTTATTGCTTGTGAAAAAGAAAATGACTAGCATATTCAGAAAATTATTTTAGGATTTTAAAACTCTTTTTGCATCCCAAAGTTTGACTTTTGGTAATTTCAGATGGCTGAGCATTTTAGTGACATTCCAGCATAAATATATCCCCAAGTGTAAATCAATTGACTTTATGATGATTAGATGAATTAGGCTGGGAAGCATGGGGTTCAGCTAGCATCTGAATGGAGTAGGGTAATGTCTCAAGTTTCTAGTAGTTGTTATATGGGCATATATACATATGCTACAGATACACATTCTGTACCTATTGCACCTTTGTAAGGCAGATATTGTCATATAATCTATAACTGTCAGGTTCCATTCTGACGCAATTGCAATTGGACATTGAATACTTTTTTTTTAAGTTGGCAGAGGAACAGTTGTATGTTTGCTCTTTACACAGCACATTTAGTTCACTTGCTGCTGGATCATCTAGCCACAATTACACGAGGTTTTTAGCAAGACTCTGATTTAACATTGGGCTGATTCATTTCCATCAAACTCACAAAATAGAAGTATTATTGAAATTGTGTGCAAGAATTTATTTTTACTTTTCAGAAAATAATTATCACCAGGAATCTGTAAAGCTTACATAGTCACTAAAATAAAAAGTAAGAAGGATCTGGATCCAGGAAATATTTAGAAATATAAATAACTCTATTCATTTTTGTATTCCTACTGGTATCAGTGGGACAACATATGCAACTGAACCTCATACGAATGAATGCTGTGTGCAAGATTCGGGGTCAGGGTGTCAGTGCCTGTAAAGGATAGGGTGACTTTAACTCCTCTGAAGCTGAACTGTTTATTTTGCCAATTGTCCTTGAAATTAGAACTTTGTTCCATGTACTCTGATAGGTAAATTAAATGTAAGGTTAATGTGCTTGTATTTGCAGTATTAAATGAAGAATATCATCTCTGTCTTTTCATGTTAGCAACATTGCATTAAAAGTACTGTTTGAAGTTTAGCAAAATGTTCGAAACTTTTCATCCGTAGCCAACTTAGTCATAAAGATACTTCAGATACCCCTTGATCGTTAATGCTCATTGTGATTCATTTGACATTAAGTCTGAGTCCTCACATTTACATTAAAGAAACTGAAAAAAGAATGCAAGATTTGGTGCTGTACAACTTTGCAAAAAGCCCAAGGTATATAAAAGTTATGATACAGAAAACAATTTTAATGTGAGGAAAATGTTTCAGATAGTAAAAAAACAGATCAATATTCTGACTCTCAGTGATAGCAACAATGTTCTACAGGAGAACAAAAATCTGAAAAGAGAAAAATGCTTTGGTGAACGGAAGTTTTTTTGTACGTACATTGAAAGCAAAAATTGCTCCTGAGTCAAAAATAATAACTTCTTTAAACTTTCTACTCCACTTATTTTTATTTCTTGATGACTGATTAATAGAGTTAGCACACCTTGGTGGCAGTTAATTGTTGAAGTTACAACTAAAACCCTTTCATTTCTTGGCCTTCACTGTAGTGACATAACACAGATTCTGTTTTCTTTTTCTTGTTTTCTCAAGGAAGAGTTCATTACTCTAAGTATTGGTGTAGATTTTAGATTAATCTTGATCATCTCTTAGTTCCTGTAAATGGAAATACGGAATTTGGACATCATCAGTGTGTCTTATTAAGATTCCTTGAAGAATCCACAGATAGATAGTGACACTTTTAATTTATTTAATGTGTTTTTATTTTGCCTCATGCTTGTTGTTTTATGAGAGCTTTCTGGGAAAAAAAAAAAAAGGAAATCAATAAAAATACTTACTAATTCCCTGTAGGGCTCCTCCTAGCAACTGGGCATCCATAATAGGGTTAAAATTCGGAGCGGGAAAAATTGTTCCTTGTGTCTGCTGAAGGAGAAAGGAGACGTTATTGAGGTTTTTCACATTTATAGCACTGCATATATATTTTGAAAACTAACAGCCATAACTTTATCTTTGCCACATGAAGGTAACAAATTGTCTGTGGCTAACTGAGGAAAAGAGTGCGTGGTCAGAAATTCTAAGATCTGAGTGCCTCAAGATTTGAACCAAACTTGCAAATTTTTTTAGCTAATAATCAGTAGATATAGCTGGACAAGCTATGATTAAGCAATTGCATTGTGAATCTTACATGCCTGGATAATCTTTTGTTTTAAGGAAAAACAACTGAGAAGAACTCAGAAGAACTGAGAAGTAACTGAGCAGTAACCTGAGAACGGGTAATTCCTTCGAGGGAATTCATGACCACCAACTCATTGACCACCTACTGAAAATGAACCACAGACTCAAATGTAGGTAAGAACTGCACATGCAGACTAATTAGCGTGAGAAGCAAGAGGTATAGCTAGCAAATAGTGGTTTGATTAGTAATTAATGAAAAAGTTATGTAATTTGTAACCAGTGAATGCTGGTGCCCTTGTTTGTGAAAATGTATAAAAAATGTAAAATTTTGATGATCAGGCTGGTGGTCTTTTGTGAGTTACCACCCAGCTCCCTGCTTTGCACAAACTAGAGCAAAAAATATAGAAATACCTCACCTTGGTGTGTGAATTGGCATTTGCACACCAGGTTATGAGTCCACCTTCAGGACAACAGCACTACTGTCCTGTGGTGACAAGATGCTACACAGCAGGTGAGAGGGAAAAAACTTGCTTCTAAAGCAACATCGACATTGAACAGGTTTGCTTTTCTGAACAAATGACCACTCTAATGCCCTTTGGTGTAGTTTTATGGGGAGAGGGAAAGGTGATGTAGTTTTAAGTTGTTGAGCAAGACTGAATGCTTGCAATGATCTCCTGTACTGAGACATAAACCTGAAGGTTGTGGCAGGCATTTTGTTTTACAAAGATTTGCTACAATCTGGTCATACTTCAGAAGAATCTGTTGTTACAACATTCTTTGGCTTGAAATACCTCAAGAAATTGAGGAAATAAGTCAAAACAACACTCATATTGGGAAAGCTGGGGTTCTGCTTTCGGAACCCAGGGCCCAGGGTATAAAATCATATTTCCCCCCAAACCCAGACAGGATTACCCTGCCTAAATGTGCCTAGTAAATGCATACCTAGCAGCAGTGTTCATGACTGCACAAACTGAGGGAGCAGAGCAGTAGAGGCATTTGGTAACTGGAAATTGCAACAGATTGAATTTTATCAGGAGCAGGCAACTACATGTGAATAGATTGTCTCTTCAATTATTTTTGGTTGGAGAATTTCTGCTGCCCTGTTTTGAAGCAGGGTATTTTTAGGATTGGTTGAACACTTGAGTGTAGTTACACGTACTGCTATTTCACTTAGTTCATTTCCACTGAAGTCAGCTGTGACTGACCCCTGTAACAAAGAAGGCTAGTGGAGCTGAGCAGGGGCACTGTGCCCATAGAGCTCAGGGAAAAATGCAGGACGTGACTGACCACAGCTATGGCAAAGAAAGCTGATTTTATTTCAACACAAAGCAGACTACATAGCTATCAACATTTGAGAGGATGAACTGATGGTGTAAATGTACCTGTATAAGCCCAACACAGAGTATAATACTAAACAGGTAGCAAAATAATTTGTAAGAGAGCAAAAGGCTTGAGCCGACTTCAACCCATTTAATCCTTTCCTGTGATGTCCAGCATTGCAGCAGTGAATGTATCAATGAGAGCAATAATGTGGATCTCATCAGTATTACCTTTGTAATTTGTGTTATGTTTTCAGTACATTTGTATTAATCTGCTAGAAAAGCCTGTTTAAAATCACTTAACTTGATAATATACATTATAGCTTCTATGAGTGGAATATCTGAAAGAACCTAGAGCAACCTGTCTGACATCAGGATGGCCAGTTTTGAGTCTATGGCTGTTTCTGTTTTACTTATACAACATCTTTTTCTCCTTTAAGCTCTGGAAAGCTTAGGGAAATTAACAGTATGATCTTCTGGCTTTTCTTCCACATGCCTTAGCATGATCACTACCAGAATGGGCAGGAATTACACTTCATGGCAAAGCTAAATCTACATCAGAGAAAATTGCATTGTGGTTGTCTTGGTGATGTCAGAAGTGTTTGGGGTGTTCTCACTGAATATAATTTCTCTAAATACAATGTTCTCCAACCCACCCACACAAATGAGACAAAATTATCATTCAGGAGTGACAGGAATCTTTTTGTAAGTTGAGAAGACCAGGGACATTTTTGGGTCACTTAACATTATTAATACTAGAACTTTATCCACATCTTATGGACAGTATTAGTGGAGGTATTTTTATTGATTTCAGGGAGCTTTTTGGTCATGCTCTTAATAAGTAAAACTATTTTACATCGTGCTGAGAAAACTAAGGAGAGCTTGTTAATGGACAGCAGGGGCTCTCCAAGATGATCAAAAGGATGGGGCATTTGCCCTGTGAAGAGAAGTTGAGGGAATCTGGCTTAGCCTGAAGAAGAGTCAGCTTTGGGGGGACCCAGCAACTGCTCTGTAGTGTCTATGGGAAGACCACCAAGAACATAGAGGCATCCACCTTGCTGAGGTGCATGAAAAATGAAAGGTAAGTCATAAAACAAACCAAAGAATGTTCTGGCTGGATATGAAGAAGACATTTTTTACTGTGTGGATGACCAAGTAGTAGAAGAAGTTGCCTGAAGAGGTTGTGAAACCTCTGTCCTGAGAGATTATAGAAACTGAATTAAGCAAATCTCTGATCTACTCAGTCTGAATTTAATGTGGCTCCTGTTTTGACAAGGAGGCTGGGCTAGATAATCTGACAACCATCTTTCAACCTAATAATTCTATAATTTTTTTCAAAGCAAAAAATTAACAGGAATTTTTTCAATAACATTTTTAATATATGTAAACATTATCAAAAACCCATTTGTCTCAGTGATAAGAGATTGAGTAATAAAGGTACTTGCATTATTCTCTTTGTGTAAATCCCGTAGGGTATATACTAATTCCAGACATACATTTTGAAGAATTCAAAACCTTTTTCCAGGACCAGGCACAAAACCTGAAATTTATGTTGGTGAAATTTACATCTGGTGATCACTTTGTCCAGTGTACAAACTGTGATTATTTGAGTTATCATGCTGGAAAGAACTGTCAGTATAAAACCACTATGAACTTCATGTGCAATTTATTTATACATTTTCATTTCCTCAAAATGAAAATTAGCAAAGGTGTAATGAGCAAGTAGCCTAAGAGATTTGACTATTAGAAGTTACACACTTTGATAATTGCATAGAAAATAAAGTTGTTGTTTCTGGATATTTAAATATTTGAATAATTATGTTATTTACATGTAGATGGGACACTTAGGGACATAGTTTAGTGGTGGACTTGGCACTCTTGCGTTAATGGTTGGGGTCCATGATCTTGGAGGTCTTTTCCAACCTAAATGATTCTATGATATTAAGTGAGCCTAACTATAATGTCTGTATGGAAGCTACAGCAAGCCAGTTTATCTTTGCCAGTCATAAATCAATCACATTAAAAATATTCCTTCCCTAAATGATTTTTTTTTATAATAATCTAGGACAGATCACATAGTGAAAAAGGTGTTCACTATATTCATCAGTATCTGAATGTATCTACACCTTTCCAAAGGGTATTGGCATACAGTGAAGATGCTGAGTTGAACTTCTAAGCATCTGGAAGGAGATCAGAGTCAGTGCAGACAGCTCATTATTAATCTCATGGCAAATGTAGTAATTAATAACAAAAGGAGTGGAGGGGGATATCTAAATATTGCCTTAAGGAAATATGGATCTAAAAAGCATGAGAAGCAAAGAAGAAATACAGTCCAGGTCCTTAATTGGTGTAAATGTACAGAACTTGGTCAAAGTCAGTAAAGTTTTGGTTTAGACAAGATGATGGTCAAACAAATAGTCTTGTAACTCCTCTCTTACTCAGATATCCTTCAAATATCCTCATTACTAATATGCTACATATTCCCACTACCTTCATAGTGAACCTTGAGAAAACTCATGCATTTTTTGTGGCTCTTCCCAGATTTGCATATGTTTAGATAGAATTATTAGTACAGTGGATAGGATACAGAAATCTAAACTTTTCCTTCAAGTTGTCTGCACTCACATATATCCATCCTCACAAGTGCATACGCAGGTGTTTTGCTTGCTAAACAACATCAGATTCAGTTCCTCAAGTTGGGTGCAAGGTTGTGGATTTTGTGGATATTAGTATGGTGTATTGTTTTGAAATACAAAACCATGTATGTTCAACATGTTGTGATACAAGTGCCTCCGTAAACACTGCAGCTAACAACAACTGGTTTCTTCAGAAGAGATTGTATTCCTCTGCCAAATATGTTACAAATTCATCTGTAAACTTCAAAGTTACTGGTAAGAAACAAATGGATGGACAAATACACACAAATACAGCCAGATTTTCTGAAGAAACCATGAGGTGATGTCTGGTATAGTCATTGGAAGAATGTGAGGGGTTGTACATTTTAAAAGACTTTTAATTTTGGTATCTGGATTCTGGTATCCCTCATGACACATGCACCATTTTGGTGGAGCACCCCTTGTGAACACAGTATTCAGCATGGCAGGGCTTTCTGCATTGGAAAGAGAACAACTTCAAAGGGCATCTGAAGAAAGTTATTTCTGAGGGCAATTTGGCCTTTTTATGGGTTCATTTAGACGTATGTGAGCACAGAGAAATCGTTTTCATACTGGCTTTCTCCTGCAGCATCCTAATGAAGAGGATATCTATTGTTTAGAAGGAAGAATAACAATATTTTGCTTTTTTCTCACAAAGTGTCCAAGCACCTAAAGGTAAGGCAAACAAATCTCCATGGGTGATTCAGTTATTTCTGACTTTAAGGATTTTAATTCTCTTTCTGATGTCTTCCTCATCGATTCATCTACAAAAACACAGATCTGTTTCCACGGAGGCGGCCCAGGTGAGCACTTTCTACTCTCTGTTAGCACATGTTCATATAACTCATCTGTAAGGAACTGATTCCACAATCAGCTGTGCAGAGAGAACACAGGTTTGTGTGGTGTTGGTAGAATGAATCAAAACAACAAAATAATTTGGAAAGAGACCAAAAAATTCATAAGAATTGTAAAAAATGATACTTGCAACTTGCCTTCCTTCCATGCAAGAGCAAGCAAGTTACAGCTTTTCCTGACCAAAGCCATAAGCATTCAACAAAAGTATCAGTAAAAGCTGAGGCTGCTTTTATCAAATTATGTTGTGTAAAGTTCAGGCAATTCACTCTTGTGATGGAAAAAGCAATCTGAAGTATGAACAACCTTCTAATAATATTTGTTCAGTAAGTCATTCTGCTGATAACAAACAATCAAACTCCTTAGTCTGAATGTTTCCCATAGGGAATGTCTACTAAAATAAAATGCTTGCTTTATTACATAGCTACATGCTATGAGCCAGCTATACTTTGGCGAAGATATCCTTTGTGTGCAACTTTATTAAATAAAAATTTCATGAGTATTTTGATTTGCTTTGTGTTTATTGTATGTGTTACATTTAATTTGAAAAATAAATGTTGCAGTAGTGGAAGGGATACTTCTAAACATAGAAAATTTTTTCTCCAAAGCCTCCCATCTCCCCCTGTATGTGTATTTCAGAGAGCTCACAGATTTCATCTTGTCTAATTTCTTGGTAGTTTTACTTGTGGTACTGTGGAGAGCCATGTTCTCTATGTAATCTCTGATAATGTTCATGGCCTGAATTGCTGAATCTGGCAAGACTGCTGCTGTTAACAGTTTGTACATCTCATTCTTGATCCTGGGGGACTCCATCCTATCCAATTATTCATAGATAAAATATGTAATTACTAACATGAGTAGCGTAAAATATAACAGAGGTCATCTTAAACAACCAAGTAAATTTTGAAAGTAGTGCTTCCAATTATTTTTTCATGTTTCTTATGCTTCTGAATTAATGGTATATCAATGTTTTGGGATTCCTTAAAAAAGTATTTTAAAGTCTCAAGTTTGCTTTTAAGACTTCTTCTCAATTTAAAGTTGTGTTTCAGAAAAGTAGACAAGAAATTAATGTGACAGCCTCACCACTCAGTCCTGTGTAAGCCCCTATTTTCTTGTTTGAGATTTGCTAGAGTGATTTTTCTGCTATTTTGTTGCTGAGTCTCTTTTGAGAAAACTGCCACTGCTCCGAGACCGACTTTATCTTGAAGAACCAGCAGGCACCCAGGGGAGAATGTTTACATGGGCTCTGCATTATATGTCCCCATTCTGTCTGGGTGCCTCAGCAGGGTAATCTCCACTGATTAGAATCCAGTAATCTAGTTCATAAAATAACCCTAATTACTCTCCCTTTCTATTCCACAACATATGGAAATTGGAATAAAGAATAAAAATTTACTCAACCTGCGAATCCATCAGAGAAAGCCTGTGATCAGATTTTCCTGCTTTTTCTGAGACTGATACGCACCCCATTGTCTACAGTTGCTTCTCTGCTTCCTTACTTCAGTGATTATGGAAAAAACAAAGGGCATATCAGTGTGCCTTTCTATGTTTTGAAGAAGAAGGAATAAAGAGATGGTATTAACATTGTCTATTTTGGAGTATTTTGGTGCAGTTCAGAGGATCAGAATTAGGAACTTAAGTGTTCCCTCTGCTCCAGTAATCCTAAAGGCCTACAATAAATTAAGCCTACATAGCTGTTGTAAACATCTGCCACAGTTAAGAATTACCATCTAATCTATTAGAATTTCTTTATAACACTATCAAAATATTGCATTATTATTACAAATATCATAATTGCCAATCGTAATGACTTAAAAGCAAAAGAATTTCTTCTGTAAGTTATTTTATAATGTACTATTGTTAATATCAGACAACACATTATATGCAAATGCAGTGCCAATTATTTAAATACAATTGGTCTCAATAAATCAGTAGGAGAAAAGAAACTGAATTTCCTGACATCTCCAGCAGAAACTAATCTACTACCTTTGTCAGATAGATTTAGTCTTGCTGTCTTCATTTAATTATTAGGAATAGATTACAGAATCACTGTAAATTAAAGAGAAAAAAAAAGAAACAAAGAAGAAAATCCCTTTTAAGTTCTTAGCTGGTCTAGTAAAGGATGCGAGATCCCAAATTGCAGAAAACCAAACACATTAGTAATCCCCATTCAATAACTGTTACTTTAGAAAAGCAAATATATGCAGTATAATTTTATCAGAAGAAATACTTTACTGACAGGATTGGAGTAATTAGTCAATTATACTTTCAATTAAAATAAGTAAGGAAAAAATGTTTCTCCTTTAGAAAATTCTATATTGATTTGTAAGTTCGTTGGGAATGTACATGCAAAAAGCATTTGAGAGGAATGAATAATTATTATTGTTAATGATAATTAAAAGAAAGCCCTTAATGAACATAATTATCAGTATGCCAGGTACAGATAGCAATTTCATGTTTTGTTGTCATGAAATAATAACTCTAGTAGCTACCAGAATGGAGATTTAAAATTGCACTATGAACTTTTCTTAAAGAGTGCTAATGAAACCATTTAATATATTGCTACAATTTTTGATAGGGAACAATAACTAATAATGTGTTATGGCCCTTATAGAGGTAGCATTTCTTTGCTTTAAAATATTTTTCAAAACAGATGTTTATAAATGTTAAATTTATTCAGTTACTTTATGCAGTTACAGATGGTCTTGTGAATTTATAAACCCCTCAAAATAGTACCAGGAATAGGTATCTTCTGAGAAATTCACATATTTATTTTTAATACAATTAGGTGATAGTATGTAATTTAGTTTCTTGTGTAGTAGCTAAGTGCAAGCATAGAAAACCCACAAACACAGCCTCATAAGGAGGCTTGAATTTTTTTTTCTTGAAAGGTCTAAAATTCTGAGACAGGAACTGATAATTCTTTATATTTTAATCTTCATTTCAAACACTTGATATATACAGTAAGTAACACCAGGATTAGACCCAAATCACAAATAAATTAACTTCACCTGAGATTAATTTCTACCAACGGAAGGAAATGGATCCCAACATATGTGATGAGAACTCAAGAGGAATGAAAAGTTTGGAAAGATTTCAGAGAACAGATCATTCTACTCACATAAGCTGCACAATACATTTTGGTTTGAGGCTTCAAGTTCTGTTGAGATGAAAATAGTAGTTTTCCCAAACTAAAAGTAATAGTTCAGCAAACTAATGTTATAGTTAAGTCTTATTCTGTTTTGGAGATTTGAGAGAAACCATCCAATCAAAGTGATACGAAGCAGAACACCTATGGGTACTGTATGTCCTTGGGTTTTATAGATTCACTGTGTACTTAGTCATTAATCACGTATTGAATAAGTGTGATTATAATGTAAGTAAACAGAGTCATTAGTACGACACCCTCTGTTCTGCTGTGTTGATTTTAAGAATCAGAATTCAGCTAGTCACAGAGTGAAATGCTCACCTACAGAAAGTGCTTGTGTTAATGATTTACTTTTCAGATTAGGTCTGGTCTAGTTCCTTTTTCTCCATGTGCTGAAATTGCTCAGCTCATCGCTTGTTCCAAAACTCTTTGTAGCTGGCATGCGTAGGAAGATGCTTTATAGCCCCTGTATGTTACCCAGAGTAATCAGGTAGGCCTTAGTAGAACTGTGCAGAGCAAAGGCTTTTCAAGCACGTTCCAATTCAAAAAATTCTGTGAAAAGCTCATAAAAAAATCCTGTAACATTGCTGTATTTGAGGACTTATATAGAATCTGAACTACCCAACTGACAGCAAACCCATGTTTTTCGTATCTAATAACGTGTACTTTTCTGCTCATGATAACTATTATTGTAATAAACCATTGATAAAATACTAAGTTTTCTCTCTCTCACACACACACAGGAATATAAAATAGAGGACTATAAAAATAGGGATGCAAATCAGTCTGTATATCCTCTAGTACAACTTGAATGGAAGGCGTAGGTTACCATTATCCTAATTGGGTACCAGCATAGAGAGGTAATGTTTTTCCAATAGTTTGACAGTAGTAGTAGCAGCAAATCTGAATTAAATGACTCCAAATTTCCTTCGTTTTCTTAATGTATCCATGACAGGCTTTGTAGCACTTACTAAAACTTCATTTTTTTTCTTACAATTTAGGAAGGCTTTGGAAAGAATAAAAAAAAATACTTTGTAGCAGCTCTTCTAATCATGTAAACCTGTCTATTGGTTTGCATGAACTCAGCAGTACTGATTTGAGTATAAGCTTTTGCTTGTCAGCCTGTGTTATATGTATAGTATGCACATGCATCTTTAGAAATAGTTGGGAGAGTTTCACAAAGAAACATACACGTGTGGAACATGGACTTCACAGTGGCACATCTTTCTCTTTTTTCATTAGGGCTATGGTAAACATTTTACTTTATTGTAATTGTACCAAGTATTTATTTTAATCTCTATATCTCAAGTGCTCTTTGAGGATGGGTGGGGAATTTAATCCCACTGTACAACTAAGTAAAATGATCTGTAAAGAATTTGGTCTGGCTGGTTAGAGAATGGCACATGTGAGGGGCAGAAGGTGGTACCTAGAGTAGGATTCAGTCTCCTGACAATACATATTTTATAGCAGTGATAAGAATATGAAAATATTTAAGCCTCTGTTTTACAGACTCTAATTTTACATGTATTTTTTTGCCTTGATTAAATTGTAATACAGTTAATCTTCAGTACAACAGAAAATTGATTAAGTTTACAGGATTACATTAATGTTTTGTTCTGCTTGTGTCAAAATCTTCAGTGGTCAGGAACCATAGGATGTAAATAAATAGTCAAATTTTGTTGTTCTGTGAAATACCTGGCACATAATATGAGTAAAGCACTTAACTGATTACTGAACTAGATTCTGTTTAATGAAACTTTCTGAGAAAAGCTGTGAGAGCCTAGAGAAAATGAGAGAGAAAGGTTTCAACCAATCCTTTTCCCTTTGAATGTCCTTTGGCTGTCCTCTCCTGCCATCTCCCCTCCAAGGCAAGAGGCAGGGCTTACCAACAAGGAAATGAATAACGTTTGTCCACGTAATGCTCAGAAAATGTATCCAGTGTTTGTGTACCAGAGTGAACGTGTTGAACCTCACCTTCACATTTTCTTCAGGAGTCAGTAGGTCAGAGGTGTGAGTCATTTCTAGGGGAGTTGCTTATCCTGTATTTTGGGGAAAAAACAAAGAAGTTGTGTTGCAAGGGTTTTTGGCAATATCACTTTTGAAGAAAGAAAAAGACTACTTGGAGATACTGCAGAAGAGAGAAGCAATAATTACTTACACATAAAGATAAGAAACACATGGTTTGTTTAAAGTAAAGAACAGGGAAGGAGCCTTAACAAGTCAAGAAAGGAAAAGACGCTGCAAGGGAAAGGGAAAAAATAATTTGTCTTCCTGTTCACAGTGAACTGGACAAATTGATTTTTTTTCCTGTTTCACCTCTATTTAATCTTTGCAATTCTCACACAGTTATAGGGTGAGGTTTTCATTACTCTGTTATGGAGCATTTAGTTACTGGTCTGGGCACCTGTTGCTTTCCTTCCTCTTTTTCTTGTTAATAAGTTTCTTGTTTCTATTCTTTCTTAATTTTCTTGTCTCTCAATTTGTTACCTATTCTTTTTTGGGCAATCTTCATTCTTTTCTGTTGAAGCAAGGAGGGGCCAGTTCCTCTTTTTCAGGTTCTCACAAACAATGGAATTTCTCACCTGTGCTAAAGGTTCTTTCTCGAACTTCCCCTGTCCTGCTCATTGATGTGCTCAGGCTTAGACATTGCAACTGATCATTTCCATGATATTCTATTGGAAACCTTGAGTAAAAATAATGAAACATAACTAATTTTTATTAGAGATCCATCTTTATACAATTAAAATTAGAACTATAGATTATTAAGTATTAAATAATTCTATTTATTTCCCCTGAAAATTAGCTTCTAGTATATCAGTTACATATAAATTAAAAACAAAATTCACATTATTGGTATAATAATTTTTAGGTATTGCTCTGGAGTCTCATCAGATAATTGAAATGTTTGTCCAGTATTACTGCAGCAGCAAGCAGTAATGTGTTAAAGGCATGGGACTTAGAACTCCGTGCTTCTGAACTTGCAATTTATGTGGTGGAAAGTAAATCTGAATATAACTGGGGCTGGTGGAATTTCTAGCTCTCACCAGAGTACAGAATGCATGAGCACACTACAGAGGCCAAGAAAAAGGGGTGAAAAGGTAATCTCTAGCCCTACTGTAATAATTACAACCTTGGGCATTTGAAAAATGTGGCAATGAGAATTTCATTGACTGTAGGAACTTGTGTAGAATGTGTGTGGAGCATGTGTAGAATATTACTCACCATGATTAAGTGAAGTATTTGGTAGCAAATACCTTAAGACAATGAATCACTGTAGGACCTATGACTCAAATCCCAAGCCTGTATTTATATTACAAAAGGAACTTGGGTACTTATCTACCTGCCAATTCCCCTTAGTGTTGCCAGGGCCAAATTCTGCCCTCATTTTGAGAAGAGCTCTGAGCATGGTACAGGGACGCAGGAGGCAATTCCAAATACTGTGGAGCTGCTAATCTGTGCCTTGGAAGGACAGCTGCCAGCTCCCATTTGGGATGTAGCCATTGTCAGAAGGCTGACCACATGAAGCAATGTAGGCTATTAAAGAAGAGAAGAGGGTTTGAACAAGATAATGAAAGGTAGTAGTGGGCACAGCTTTCTAGAAACAGCAGAAGCACTGTTACTTAATGAGTAAAATTCTGGTTTCACAATTCTGTCACTATAATTTAAATTGCAGTTTCTGGTGGTTCATCAGTGGAAGAAATTGAAAAAAATCTTGGGCCTACAGAGCACTTCTCAGTCCTGAGTATCATTGAATTGGATACTGGGGAATTATGCTAAGCTTGCACTGATGTTTTTGACTTTCTGGAATTGCTCTAGCTCAGAGTTCTAGACTGTAAAGTACTACTTTACTACTATAAACTTTCACTGAAGTACTATTTGCTTAGGAGCCTACTTTGGCAACAGCTAAGACAGTAGGTTTCAGAATATTTGCATCCTGATCACCCAAAACTAAACACCAACACATTTGTGGGAAAGCTTTAATTTCCCAAATTATTAACTTTGCCACTATCAGAGGTGCCTTCATTTCTAAGTATCAGTTAATACATTATTGAAAATTAGAGAAGATGCAGTATACCTTCCTTTAATTTCTCAAAGTGCTTGCTGTTTCCCATAAAAAATTGCAGGCTTTTTCCACAGTACAAAGCATCACGCTCCACAGCAAACATTTTGTGACATCCTTTCATGAGGTGGCTGCATGTTTCCTGAGCTGGAGGGTAGAGCCAACAGCATCACCCTGAACATTCATGGTCTTGGTGCCCCAAAGAGAGATGCTGAAAGCAGAAGTCCAGTGGATCTTCTCTCTTTCCTGAACAATCAGCATATCAAAATAAAACAGATCCCTGATTTATGAGAAAGTCCTAAAATTGGAACAGTGAAGAAATTTCATACATATGCAAAATAATTTGGTTCTGTGAAGAGCAGTTAAAGACTTGAGTGCACTGAAAGGATTGGCAGGTTCTGGTAGTTGGTGTGCAGTAGATTGCAGTTCTAGTTGATCAGTTTCCCCTTTAGCTCCACTGCCTCACAAAACCTCCACCCATTTTACCCCTCCAACGTTTTCTTTATTTCTAGTCCTCTTAAATGTGCAAGCTACATTTAAACTACTGTTCAGCAAGGGAGGGTGAACGGGAATATATACAGTTGTCACCACATTTGCAATTTTAGACTTTTGTCTGGACAGAGGTTTGTTTTTAATGGGATGGATATAGAAATCTCTTTTAAAAATTTTAATCTCGAACTACAGACTCTTCCTGCCACTGTAATTGCATTCATTTACAGTCTTTGTATAGCTCTTTCACGTGTAACCTATTTAGGTTATGTTTAAGACTGTGGCAGATATGTGCCTAGGTTTCCTAGGGTTCTGATCACTTGTTTTAGGGAACTGCTTGGAGCTTGCGCTTCCCAACAAAAAGTCGTGATCTGTTCTTGTAGAAGAATATATTTAGAGATATTGCTTAGATATGATTTCTTAATGTGTTCTCCTCTAAAGTTATTCTTGTTTTATGGTACAGTGCTAGTGTTTGTGAGTTACTTTTATGTTTTAAGGGTATGAAAACTGTTTCTACAAATTTATATTTAGGAATGGAAGCAGTTGATGTGAGTGCATTT